AAAAGATTTTCCCAGGCAAGGATGGACTAGTGAGAACATGCTTGCTTCGTACACCTGAAGGAAAATTAGTCAAGAGGCCGATTCAACTGTTGTATTCGCTCGAAGGTTGCTTCGGTTGAATCTGGCCGGCGGGAAGATGTAGAAAACAGATTGAAGATGGAGCTCGGAGGCGAGAAAAAAGAAGTAGCCAGGGTCACGCTCTGCATATTTTTTTTTTTCCTGTTCTGTCAACAATAAACCGAAGACGTATCGGTTCTGCGGTCTCTCTGGTCCTTCTGAAACAGTGATGTAACACTGGCTGGGCCAACCATGTTATGTTGTGTCTAAGCGGCACCAGGGCAGCACGTTTTTTATAGCAAAAAACTTTCTTCGCAACCTAGTGGTCCAGTGGAAGGTGCCTGCTCATATATTCACACGTGTGAAGTTGGCAATATGATGCCGTATGAATAGTGATCACCCTTCATGTAGAAAATAATCATTTCGTGAATGTGTTGAACAACATTCATAACATATCTAAGCAGTAACTTTTACATGGCATATCCCATGGCTGTACAGGTGCACCAGTGATTTAGTGAATGATGATGAAGCACAGTGCTCATTAAAATTGCTAAAATGAGTTGACTTCGACAACCAGCTTTAGTGATTGCTGCATAATTTTACAGCAAAAGCTATTATGAGATAACAACAAGGGTAGCCTGCGCCATATTTGTTTGCCGCCGCCACCGCCACTGTCCGTAACCACTATCACACAAAATTAAAAAAAAACTAAGTAAATAAACACCAATGACACAATGAGACTTCAACCCGGGTCCCCTGCATGCCAGCCCAGTATTCTACCACTCAGCCGCGCCGGTGCTTGAAACTTCGTTGCAAATCGACCCTAGGCAGGCTTCTTGCCAGGAAAGGAATCTTGTTAATATGAGTAATAAAGCGTCTTAGAACAGCAAAGGAATAATGAGGCGTCATACAATGCAAATTGGGTAACCAGTGGATCGCCGAATGCTACAATCCATTACAAAAGCCTAAGCCATAATTCTTTGTCGTCGTCAGCCACAGGATCAGGAAATTGCACAAAATTCATTGGACAAGTGTAGCGAGCACAATTCTTCTCCAAACAATGACAAAGAATTACTATGGTGAATCCTTCCCCCCTGCATACAGATTACGATGATTTATGGCATAGTGGGTATCCTGCAACTGTTCTTGCAGCAGTTACCAAAAGAATGTTGAAAAAAGGCTCTATAAAGGCCGCTCTTCCAGATTTTGCTGTGACTGTGCTGCACATTCAGCGCTGGCCTGGCGTTTTTTTTTTCTTTTTTCACATGGATATTCAACTGAAAGAATGAAGATTACACGGAGAAGATGTTGAGACTTCTCATTACTTCTGACAAAATTTAATAATGAAGCCACTGACGAATTGACTGAGATTAAAATTTTTAATTGAAGCAAACTAAATGATAAAAACTGCAGTAATAATGAGCAAGATTATGAACAGTCTGCTTCTGTACTAAATCGGTCTGGTGACCATTCACCATCTCCTGGCTGCCAGAGTAAAGATGGTGGCGTTGAGAAGCAGACCCATTTTTCTACTAAGTATGACCTATGTGAGCCAATGAGAAAACCAATGTTCTGATTGATGTCAAGACTATATTTTTCAGAATCATTTAGTGACAGAATTTTTTTTTTTAATTTGCTCAAAAAATAGCTATGTGTCTCATGTTCACGCATAAAAAACTTTGTAAACAGCCCCACAAAAGATAAAATAGCTGCTAGGTATACACCTGATCATGGGCTGCATTCGATCTTTCAGGCACTTCACAAATCACAGAAGAGCAGAGGAATCACAAGCAACAAAAAATAGTGCCCCAAATAAATCGGCAGAGAAGTCTTCTGGAGTGGCAAAAATACCATGCACAGGCAAACGATTGGATCCATATGACCGCTGGCCATCACTTTAAAGCCTAAAATTTGCATGTCACTACAGGCTTCCAGGTTGCACTTCTTGTACAAGAAAACTTCATGAAGAGTGCAATTTATCCCTTTAGCTTTCAAGCAACAAACAATGCTTTAAAATGTCCCCTATACAGTGCTGAACAAGGATTTTCTAATGCCCATAAAGTGTTACGAGTGTATGCATTGCTGCAGTCAACTACATAAATAAAAGCCCAGCCCAGACATATGTGTGGGTTTGTTTCCGGGGACCAATGTCTATATTTCTGCTGTTCAACTCTTGAAAGGTGTAGCAACACAGTACACAAGTCCAGAACACCAGAGCATTTATTGCCGCAACAATCTGTTCGAGCTTTTATGTGCCAGCCACAGTGACGCCACGAATTGCCGAGACGCTGGTCAGTGTTTTAATCATTCTGCTATGCTATAACAAAAGGCTTATTAAAATTCTTGAACAGGGCAATTATTCGTTTATATTTTCCTTGGGCCACAAGCAGTTAAGGCTCTAGTATAGTTTGTAGCTTTTTTTATTGCACAATTCGTCTTTATTCGTCATTTTATTTTTAGTTAAACACCTGCACTTGCATTTCCAGAAAACAATATCTTTGTCTGCCCTGAAGTATATCAGCCTTCTTAGACATTATCACATGTAACTCATCTGTCTATCATCGAAGCTAACGAGAAAATTTGAAATGTATCATTTTAAGACATTTTAGAACAATGTATGCAGAAGTGTCAATTTACAGTTGGCCTCACAAAGAGTGACAGTGTGCCTCGCTTCCTGGGTCATACGTGGGCGTATTCTCCCATCAGAATGCCCTCATGTGAAAACGTGTAGGCTACCAACTGGCTGTTATCCGTCTGGCTAAATACTGGTAGAATGCAACAAGTTATTGCTCTGATCATTTTAAGCAACAATACGCAACAGTAAACAGCGCTTCTGTCAGAGTTTTTGGAAATAACAGCGAGGAAGGAAAACATGAAAAAATGGGAAGCACAAAACTCCATGGGTTAAATGGGAGTGGCATTTCAGAGTGACTATATGAGTTGGAAAAACATAACAGCAAGATATTGAGAAGTTGTACCATTCGAAATTTCACAGTTACATGTAAACTACATGCTAAGTAGTACACCTAACTACACTGCTGCACCTCCACTAAGCTCAACTAATATTTTTATAATTTGTCCATACTTTCCAATGAAACTGCCTCGGTGCAGTGAAGAGCGAACATCATGCATAAAGTGTCATTATTCTGAATCCTAGCACAGTTCAGTGGCATCTCACATTTCTTTTTTTTTTCTTGTTTAGCAGCCTTTTTGATAAGTGCACAAAGGACTGCATTTGCAAACATATATTAGAGGAAGGTATATAACAGCTGCATCTTGCCAGTCCTCACCTATGGAGCAGAAACATAGAGGGTTACTAAAGGGGTTCAGCTTCAATTGAGGACAATGCAGCGAGCAAGGAAAAAATGGGCCCCGTATCTGCATTTAATCTGCAAATTTCATCGAAAGACTATAGTCTTGCGTGTGGAGAGAGTGAACAAAACATTTATTAGATGTTGTGCTCAAGAAAAATCGGTGAATGGTATTCTGGAGGCGCTGCGTTAGAGTGCCTCGAGCGTGCAGCGGAGGCGAACGAGCGCATCAAGTCACGTCACACGTGAGACATCAGCGCCATCTGGCAGTTTTTTTTTCAAAAACAAAGCGTGTGGCTCTAAGACGAGTGTGCACTCCCGCCTCAGAGGTGATAAGCTGTAGAACGCAAGGCGACGGGTAGGTGCCACCACCGTCTCGTTTTAGCAAAGCGTTGGAAACACTCGCCTTTCCGTGCAAGCGTTGGATGGTCAGCGCAACGTGATAAGCGCTACAGTCTTTAAAATTACTTATGTATGCGTTTTCTAGTATAAGGCGCATATGCAGAATATATACGTGTTGTTATGGTGCCCCAGACACGCGCAATAATTGCTTTTCAATCGACAATTGCACAAGTATTAATGCTGAATCTTGAGCAACATAGGTGGGCGCTGCGGATGGGGTCGGCCGTTTCAAATACCGGATGCTGTTAAGAGTGGGCAAACAGAGAAATGTACAGACAGACAGACAGACCAAAGTTTTTGCGTCGAAAGTCCCCAAGAAAGACTATCGTCTTTAAAAAAATAATAGGAGTAACTTTAATTGATTGATATGATTTATATCTATATCTGAATTATAACGGCCCCAAGCCACCATATGATTATGAGAGACGCCGTAGTGGAGGACTCCGAAAATTTCGACCACCTGGGGTTCTTCAACTTGCACCCACATCTGAGCACACGGGCCTACAGCATTTTGGCCTCTATCAAAAATGCAGCCGCCGCAGGAGGGATTTAATCCCGCGATCTGTGAGTCAGCAGCCAAGTACTTTAGCCACTAGACCACCGTAGCAGGGTAGGAGTAACCTTAAGAGACAAAAACAGAGCAGAGTGGATCAGGGAACAAACTGGGGTTAAGGATATAATAGTTGAAATCAAGAAGAACAATTGGACTTGGGCCAAGCACGTAGCATGTAGGCAGGATAACCGATGGTCATTAAGGGTAACTGACTGGATTCCCAAAAAAGGCAAATACACGAAGGGGAGAGAGAAAGTTAGGGGGGCCGATAAGATTAGAAAGTTCGCAGGTATAACGTGACAACGGAAAGCACAAGGCCGGGTTGATCGGCAGATCATGGGAGAGGCCTTTGCCCTGCAGAGGGCATAGTCAGACTGATGATGATGATATGTCAAACACTGGCTTAAAAAAATCACCTCATACCTGTCAATTTTTAGTCATGAAAGATGCAGCTATCTGTGCTTCCAGGTTAAGGTTATGCTTTTAAACACAGAAGAAAATGGAGCAGATTACACTCACTTTATTAAACAATCAGCCCAACAGAGCCTTATTCCCATAACGGTCAGAAGCAAGGAGGCAGGCACTCAATTTCTTTTGCTTAGCAGTTAATGTAACAATGCTGCAGCTATGGCATTACATAAAATTATTCCACAACCTGCAACAGTATTCTTATATACCTGTCATGTAGATCAGAATGTTGCTATACTCATCCGTAAGAAGCCGCTTCGAACGTGGAGTGTTGGCAGGCAGGCGCCCTGTCAGTATACGAATGAAGTTCTCCACTGTGACCTGAAAGGTATAGGCTGGCTGGTACATCAACGTTATTTTTTTTTTTGTCATTTACAGTGATGAAGCTTAGGCAGAGCGAAACTAAAAACCTCCAAAGGAAGCTTGTGAATAGTGGGGAACATGAAAAATGTGGCATTCCTGCTGTTTTGCTGTTCCCCATTTCTTTTCAAGCAGTTATAGCTTGTATGGTAATATAAAGCCACTGGAGTCATTCATACCACAATCAAGAACCATTCTAGCTTCTTTTCATTGCCATCAAAGCCAGACCGTGATGAAAGCAGCGCGCAAAACTGTTTGCATTTCTTTCCATCAACCCTGTGCAGAAGAGAACTATACTAGATGATGATGATTTGTGGGGTTTAACGCCCCAAAACCACCATTTGATTATGAGAGATGCCGTAGTGGAGGGCTCCGGAAATTTTGACCACCTGGGGTTCTTTAACGTGCACCCAAATCTGAGCACACAGGCCTCCAGCATTTCCGCCTCCATCGGAAATGCAGCCGCCGCAGCCGGCATTTGAACCCGCGACCTGCGGGTCAGCAGCCGAGTACCTTAGCCACCAGACCACCGCGGCGGGGAGAACTATACTAGAGAACAAGGATACAAATGAATGCAAGCATGGTGCAATCAGCTTTCTTGTCCTATGAACTACTTGTTTCTGAATGTTGCCACAGTGTGTCTCATGCTACCTTGTTGATGAGTTAGTTTCTTAAGCCCTTAACTGGGCAACTATTTACTTATGAATGACCACACCTTGAGGAGATAATATTTTAGAAATACTGCATGCAACAAAACTGTTTTACACTACAGTGACATAGACAAAAACAATCAGTTAGTAAACAATTAGTAGACAAGAACAATTTAGCAATGCTTTATAGTGCTTTTCAACTCAGAAGCCTATTATAGGATAAACAAATCTTGAAGCTGTGAGGTGTCGAGGCCACTGTCAACCTAAAACCCATTCATTACTAATCGTTTTGTTCTAGCAATGCCAAAGTTTCATATTGTGATAGCTCTCTGCCTCTTCAGGGAATCTATGCTTGGAAGTTTGGCACAGTACAGAACCCATTCAAAAGTCTTGGTGCCCGGATACAGTAGAGCCTCGTTACAATGTTCCCGCTTAATACAATTTCCCGGTTTCTATGCTCAAAATCGCAAGAACTAAAAATGCCCCCTAGAGCCACGTGTCAATAAGTACGGCATAATACATTCCCGGAAAATACGATCATTCGGCAGCAACATTCGACATTGCAGCAAACCCCGGTTGTATGATACGTTTGGCGGGTAAAAATTCTCATTCAGATGTGCAAAAAATCGCTCACTCCTGCTTGTGAAGCAACAAGTGGCACACTGCCACCACGCGACAATGGCGATTTCTTTGCTGCGTCGAATTGTTACCCCTCTCCCACCCAGAGGCCTGTCTGAGCCGTCAAAGTAGTCAAACAGATTTCAATGCCTGTTATTTTCTGTAGCACAGTGGTTTTCGCGATTTAACAAGGCCTGTAGGGCTGCCGGATCATCGGTGCACAGTTACTGCCGGCACTTGACTTCCTAGACCTGTTTTTATGCTCGTATTACGCCATCGGCCCTGCAAATGAGAGCTCTCTTCCGTTTCCACTGTGGGCGCTCTGCGATAGTTGTCCGTGGCCTACCAACGTGGAATTTTTCCACAGCGCATGCCCTCTGCGCCACAACGGCAACGAGATGGACAACGTCACTCTCAAGACAGCCAATAGCGCACATGGTTTACGATGCCGAGATCGGCGTAAGTGATGTCACAGCCAATGGAGACCACACTCTACTTTGAAATCGATCCCAAACGGTTTAGAAATATGCAGGCCGCGCCAGGCTGTCTCTGGCCGCGCCCCGTGCGAGGCTGTGCGTTGCTCAGTGTACATAGTTCGCGATTTGAGACAGTAGTGCATAGCATGGCGTCGAGAAAGTGCAAGGCCTTGTCGATTAAAGAGAAGTTGAATATCCTTGCAGTTGTTGACAGGAGCCCGAAGAGCAAGCGAATCGACACAGCGAACTTGAATCGCCAGTGTCTACTGTGAATACCATGCTGTCGAAGCGAAAAAGATCGAGACACACGCCTAGGTATTCAGCGGGGCAACAAAGCAAGCTCGCGGAGCCCGCCATAGTAAGATGGAGGAGGCGCTATTGAAGTGGTTTAAGCAAGCACGGGCCTCCGGAGTTGACTTTGATGGCAGCGTGCAGCTGTTTCAGGAAGTGCGGTTTTCGATGGCAGCTTGCATCAGAGCATAGCCATCACTCTGGAGTTTTGCAGACATGTAGCACCACCTGTCAATGCAGTTTTGAGTAGTGCCAAGCCCAACTTCTTTGCACAGTTTGCTGTGCAACCAGGTCAACTACAGCATACGAAACAACAATTTAACTAAATATTAGGTGTATTCGAGCATTGAACAATCAGAAAAAGTGCTATGAATTTCTCTCCGAGATTCGGACACAACAACAAATCACCATGAAGTGCCAGAACGATGGGGAAAATAAGGGCAGATGTAACAGCTTTGCGCTCTGCAAAGCAAGACCCTAGTCGACGCTACTGTTGCGTTCTACGTAAAGCACTTCATTTTACTTATTTACGCAGCATTCGCGAAGCAGAATGGCAAGAGCGCTGGATACCGGCCGTTGCACACGTGTTGGGTAAGCAATTAATTACTCGCGTTTTCCACAGCCGGTCGCATGAGAAAGTGTGATATAGGTCTCCTGTTATTATTTTGATTGATTGATATGTGGGGTTTAACGTCCCAAAACCACTATATGATTATGAGAGACGCCGTAGTGGAGGGCTCCTGAAATTTTGACCGCCTGTGGTTCTTTAACGTGCACCAAAATCTGAGCACACGGGCCTACAACATTTCCGCCTCCATCGAAAATGCAGCCGCCGCAGTCGGGATTCGAACCCACGACCTGCGGGTCAGCAGCCGAGTACCTTAACCACTAGACCATCGCGGCGGGGCATTTTTATTCTTTTGATTAACCCAGAGAACTGTGGTAATTTTGATTATAAAGCGTAACAGAGCCTCTGACTATGTTTATTGCTCTGAACCTCACTATGAACTTGTCAGCCTCATTTTTTGCTGGATTTGGATCGTACTTTTTCTACGATCGTACATTTATTTTCCTGAGGTTCTACTAGCTGTGCATGCCTTGTTTTGCTTACGGAGTGTTACACAATGAACGTACTCTGCTCCATGTGCTTTACACATTGTTTGGCCCACAAGTGAGGAGGTGCAACCTTGAAAACAAGCATCTTACCATCATTTACATTTTCTAAGATAGAGTAATGCATCTTCTGCTTGAATTAAAATTTCACTTTATTAGCACTTTTCCATGGGGTGATTGACTCCCAAATCTGTACACATACTCAGCAGGGCATTCGGTATTGCATCATGCACAGCTGATAGTTTGTTCGCTGAAGTAAAATGATACCGAAATAATTGTAGATGTGTTGACAATTCTGTTTTATAACTTGTGGCAAACCTCTGGAAGGCATGTTCAGCCTTGTGGATACCTCTGCGTCCTTCTAACAACATGTGAACTTGCTTTTTAATTAATGGAATCATTTCAATGCTAGGTATAACCCCTCACTTTTTTTACAGATTTGTGTTGATATACATGCAAAGAAATGAAACCAATTAGGCCAACTGTAGATTATAATTGGGTACAACTTTCGAAATTAGTGGGCCATTTCGTCCTCAAAGGCAGGTGCACACAAACTTGCACTATTGGACGTACACTTCAGACAAACATCATGAGCCAGACATACACTGACCACATCTGCAGAGAACACTGCCGAGTGCAAGAGTGGGACTATTTCTTTCATCGCAAATGCAATCGGCTGCCGCACTTGGGTCACCTGGACAAAGCCTCCTGCAAATCCTTAAGTTGCACTTGACTATGATGGCACACCAAGGCACACACTTTAGGGCTAAACCCTACATTGGTGGCTGTGGCCAATATTAAATGGCATACATATTTACCTTATTCTCACAGAGTAAAGAAAATATGTCATAATTATTCTGATCAAGCAAGAACAAACAAATTTGTGTTCACTGTTGCACACCCTCACCCAACAGGTGAAAATTTGATACCGATTGGCAAATTAATTAATACTGACATTATATTCTCTTAGAATCTCTGGTTTGTGCATAACAATGTTGTTAGGCCACGTATACGATAGAAGCAACATGAGCTCTTTATACTATGCACACTGTCACACAGGAGAAAATGTGTCATGAGGAATGGCTAGGGGAACACTATAACAATGTTGACGAATTGGTCAGGATGGTGCATTGCATAGCACATCCCTCGTGATGCAGTAGTAAGCCTATACTTATCAACAAAACTGCTAGCCAGTCTAGTTGGAATTAATTAATCTTTTAGCCACTTTGCGCAAATCAAGCAAGGACAAAGGAGTACACATGAACGAGTTGATTTTCGAAAAAACATCTGCTCATGTACCCAACATAATCTGCGCGATCTCGTCAAAAAAATACATCGCTAGTGCATATAACAGTCACATGTGATTTACAATGCCTCAGATCAGCGTGCCCGCAGCAAAAGAATACATCGAAGGCACATCTAGCAAAACACTTAGAGAAAAAAGAAAAACGTCATTAAAAGTATGATGACAGGAGTGAAATCGCTTTGTCTAGCAAAGCAATGGAAGGATGGCTGATGCACTTTTTTTTAGTTTTTCAATCCAATGGGCTTCTACGATTCTCCCGATTTGATTACGGTGTTTGAACAAAATGCTAGCTCTGCTAGGCTGATTCGTGCAAAGTGGCTAAAAGATTTACCAACGCTCACTTTTTTAACAGAAATACTGGTTATTTGTCTGAGAAAAATAGTATCTTCTCAAGCAAACATCCCACATGACAGTACATATATGGTTGCTGGCTGCTCTCTTTGTGCAAAAATGAAAGGTGTAACTTTTCCATGACCCATTTTAAATGCTTGGTTTTCTTCAAGTACCGAGCTTTACAAGTTTGACTAGATTTTATAGAAAACATATGTGCAGAACGTATATTTTCTTGCGAATTTGTTGCATATATGCCTCAATTTTATGAAAACAATGTGTTGTTTATGGAAATATCCACTGCGAAAGAGGCATAACCTTTTTTTTTTTTTCGGGAGGTTTAACCACAATCGATGTAGTACATGTTCGTGCGTTAGTTTGTAAGTGCGCGGCATATGTTCACGCACTAAACTTTTTTTTGGGGGAGGGGGGGGGGGTATATTTTTGTTGCCCTGGCTATGCCATTGCACTTTAGCTTCCCAATCGTTAAAGGACACATTGTCTGCAGAAAGCTGTCGGTTTTCCTTGGATCCAGCTCGCCTAAGCTTATTGCTGTTGTGGTCATACATATCCATCATGCGAAGAAACCCTCAATTATAAGCAACGCCATAGGTTCCTCGGCACAAAATTTGAGGTACAATCGGAGGGCGGTAAGGGCACTCTCACCTCGTATCCCCTATAATCGACTTCCACGTTGTCGCCGTAGACGTTGATGTGGTGGTGAGCATTATTGAACACAGTCGCCGGTTTCGGATTGCGGAGGTTGCAAGGCATATCATCGGCGATCATCAATATTATCTGGCTAAATGTGAGACGAAATCACCCAAGTACAATTACTAAGCGACAAGGCATCGCTTTCAAGCTTGCTCAGGCACACTTGAAATGTCGTACCTGTCCGGAATGCCGAAACGCTTGACGCTTCGGTAGATGGACAGCACATTCGCGACATGCCGGTAGTTGAACCAAAATCTTGATGTGCACACCAGAACGGCCCAGTTGTTGGTGTGACCAGATCTGAAAAACTCGGAGATCTTCGCATCGACGGACTCGTCCGCGTTCTACTGAAAGCAAGGAAAAAAAGAAACGGTGGAAATTCGGCGAGACAGAAAACGGCAGGGAACTAACCTGCGCTTGGCAGGACAGCGCTGCCAGAGAGGTTAGCACTGCCAAGTAAAATAGGCACCAAACTAGCTTCCACGGGCTCATTCTTGAAATGTGTGAACGGCAGGCCCTTTCCGAATAAATACTCTACTGCTCCAATAACTGTTTATGTCACTTTCGTATAAGACCAGAGAACATCTCTCACTCCACAACTACCGCGACAACCATGCCTAGCCAACGCCTCCTAGAGTTCGTGTGCCTGCCGGATGAGCGCTAAACGGCAGTCATCTACGGCAGCGCTGCCTACGTAGGAATAATAGTTTTTGTACATGGCCTTTGAGATTAGTATTTTTGGCTACTACTAATTTCAGAGGATCCTTTGTATTAAGAAAGTTGCTTGTTGAATGACACTTACGTAAAATTAGTTATCATTGCGTTTACGCTTTTTTTAATTTTTTACGTTATTTTGTTGTATATAATATTCTAAAATATAAAAACCTTTTTGAAGATACTCCTACTTGAGTGGCGCTACCACAGTAGTTCTGACGACCACCGCTTTCCAAGTGACCGCCGATAATCCTGCAGGCACGGGAAAGCTAGGAGGCGTCACAGAACATCTACCAGTGGGCGCGTCAGCGCGTTTTATCGCGATGCGATGTTGCTGGTGAGACTAAAAAAAGTGTGAGCACTGTCATAAAAACGAAAAAAAAAAAGCTATCTTATTTCTTTATATTACTTGTACGAGCGCTTTTGAGCACGCTTTATTATTTGAAATAAATAAGTATTTATGTATTATGTAGGCAAAATTACATTACACTAGCTTTTTTAAAGTCAATCCAATCCAGTGCTTCATAAAAACGTCAAGAGGGATAAGCACAACGGTTGATGCAACATTCCCATTAGTAAGTGAATATTGCTGGTAGCATTCATGTGTCCAGTATTTTCCGTAATATTTCTTTGTTTTATCAGTCCGTGCGGCGCGTGGTTTTTCAAAAGTGTTGTCACCTCATGGATTATATAGCTTTGAACGCTGCCCCGGAAATGTGCGTCGCAAACAAAAGCTACAGCGGACCATTCTTGTGCGGTGAGGACTTGTGAAGTGAGCGTGGTGTTTCTCCGCCTGCCGCAAAATTTGTGCGTTTGCGTCCCGCGCCAGCGTCACGATGGCAAATACCCAGCAGCGAACTTATATCTACCTTGACTTCGACATCGAACCGTTCACGGCGGAGCTCGTGTTTCCTCAGGGCATCCCCAAGGGTGGCGCTGTGTCCCTCGTGTTTGCGTCTTTCGAGGACAAACGCGTCAAGACGACAAAGTTCACTGAAGAATTTGCCCGTATGGTGAGCCAGAAGTTCCGCGTCTCGTCCCCACTCGTCAATGCCAGACCACAATGCTTCATCCGCATCTCGCTCGTTAAGGACGGCGCAGAACCGCCGCCGCTCCCGAAGCCCAACAAGACTGTGAACCTTGTCAAAAAGCCACCAGTACCGGCGCAGACATCACAGCAGCCGAAGCTAGTACCGCCAAAATCTCGGTTCCCCGTGACCATCGACTACGACGACGAAGAGGAAAATGTAGAGGAAGCAGACGATACCGGTGTGCTCAAAAAAGCTTCAAGGAACGCGCGAAAACGCCGCGAGCCTGTAGTCGTAAAATCTGTTGCCGTTGTCTCTGATGCATCGAAACAGGCTGCTTTGAAAGCTGCTGCGCAGAAATTACCGGAGTCAAACAGTAGTGCCGAAGACCACAGTGACAGTGATGAATCGATTGAGTCGCAGCCAGGTTCACCTTTCGATGGCGTGGGTGATGGCGCTGCTGAAAGCATAGCGTCAGATGGTGATGAACCCTGCGCGTTTCGTTGCATTTTATGCCCCGAGGCATTTCACTTCGAATCAGAGTTGCAGAAGCATCGAGTGCTAGAACATGACATACTGGAAGCCTGCAAGCATTGCAGCAAGAAATTCCCCACCAAATTTAGAATGGTACGCCATATGTGGTCACACTTGCCTCGTAGCAGGTTTCCATTTCGCTGTCAAGAGTGTAAGAAGGGCTTCATTACAAAGAGAGAGCTCCTTGGGCATAAAGCCAAATCACACATGGGGAAGCTGCTTACACACCAGGAAGATGTAACAAGAAGAGAGAGTATATTGGAAGCTCAAGGAGCAGTTGCTTCACAAAAGTTGCTCCCCTGTCCACAAAAGCGCTTGCTCTCTGCTGCTGTTGAAGAAGAAATATTCTTCTGCGAGTTCTGTTCAGAAGTGTATTTGACAGGCCACTTCTATAGACAGCATGTATCTAAGCATCATGCTGAAAAGCTTGACATGTATCCTGTTGACATCAGTCTGTTCAATGGAGTTGAAAAAGACCCTAAATGTGGCCCTGATGAGGGGAAGTTCTGCTGCACACTCTGTGACAAGTGTACAGGGTCGAGTTTCCGAGAAGTGTGCAGCCACATAAATGATGAACATCCCACTGCAGGTGTGTATGCCTGCAAACGCTGCACCCTTGTGTTTTCTAATGAAGAGGAATACGGGGCACACAACAGCACCCACCTTGTAAGGGTGACTCCTAACGAGTCTTCACCAGGATCTAAAGACTACCACTGTAATTTGTGCAGTGAGGTGCTCGATCAGCGAAAAACCTTGGTTCGTCACTTGCAGCAACACCACCGTGATCCCAATGCCAAGCCCTATGCATGTCACATATGCCCATCTCGATTTCGGGGCAAGTCAAGCTTGTACATTCATGCGCGCAAGCACAACGCACTGGTTGACCGTCGTCGCTTCCCTTGCTCCCAGTGTCCCAAAGTCTTCACAGCCAAGCAATTTCTTAAACGCCATGAGGAGGCGGTACATGCTCGAATGCTGCCTTTTGCATGCACCTACTGCTCAAAGCGCTTCTACTTTGAGCGTCATCTGCAGCAGCACCTAGTTATGAGCCACCGGTCAAAGCTTACCGAGGAACAAGTCGCTGGATTAAGCCTTATTCAGAACTTTCAGTGTGAAGAATGTGGTTTCACCACATACAGTGACCGCACCATCCGTCGCCATGTATACAGCCACACAGGCACTTACCCATTCACATGTGAAGCCTGCAATCGGGGCTTCGTCTTCCGCTTTGAGCTGACAGCGCACCATGCAAGGCGTCATCTGCACCAGAAGCTGCACTGTCATTTGTGCTCTCGTATTTTCTTCATCAAGGAGCGGTTTGAAAACCACCTGTCTGCTCATGCAGAAAACTGGGGCTTCACGTGTGCAGTCTGCGGCCAGCTGTTTGAGACGCAAGGTTACCTGGAGAGCCACCAACAGCGTCATTCAGGCAAGACTCCATACGAATGCACCGAGTGTGGAAAACGTTTTAGTGCACCCCAGGGTTTGACCTTCCACAAGCAACAGCATCACCACGCCAAACGTCCTCGCCATGTTGGCAACTCTAGCACAAATCACTGGCCCCTCGGATGTGACATTTGTGGAATACGATTCAAATACTTGAGCAGCCAGCAAGCACACATGACCTTCCACCACCCGTCTACTGAGGGCGAGTCGCTGCAATGCAGCTACTGCCAGCGTAGGCTAGGCTCCAAGCTGGCTCTCTCACAGCACCTTCGGAAGCACACAAATGAGAAGTACAAGTGCAAGCACTGCGATCGCCGTTTCCAGTCTTATGTAAAGTGCCGCACTCACCAGGTTGTCATGCACACACGCAAGTTCACAACATTCTGCCCATTTTGCAGTAAGGGGTGCTTATCGGTGTTTGACCTTAAGCGGCATCTCAAAACTGTCCACAATGCAATTTTGGTCAAGGAGCCCAACCCTGAAATGCTTGATGCTGATGGCTCTGAAGCTATAGAGGTGATGAATGAGAGCATGATTGTTGGGGAAGAGGCTATCCACATAGTGGAAGAGGATGGAATGGAAGGCATAACTGAAGAAGGAAGTATGCAGATTGTTGATGAAGGTACCATTCAAGTTGTTGGTGGCGATGGGATCCACATTGTTTCTCATGAGCAGGCAATGGAGCTCATTTCTCAGGAGGGCATGCACCTTGTCGAAGGGCAGTACATTCAGGCAAATGTTGGACAAGACGTTCACGGAGTAGACAACAGCGGACAGAGTGGAAATGAAGTGGTTTTGTTGCAGCTTGAGGAGTCATCGCTGCAAACATAGAACTGCTTGCACTTGTCAATAATCTTTCATTCATGAAAAAAGAACTTGCTTTGTTGAATGAAACTATTTGTATTTTATCACCAATACAAGTTAAAGTTTTTTTTTTGGTAGTATTGTTGCATCATTGAATGTTAGGGCTGACACATGTCCCCTCGGAGCGGACAGTGAGGAAAAGGGGTGTACTTTGTACATTATTTACTTGCTAGCAGACATATGGTGTGGCTTCAAACAACTTGTTAAAAGGTTACCCGACCGTGTAGTGGCAGCTCATTGTATTTATTTATTTATTTATTTATTTATTTATTTATTTATTGGTACTGCAATCCCCTGGAGAGATTTTAGCAGGTGGGTACAAAAGACGTAAACATCAGCATATAACACCAGGCAAACAGATAGAACAGCCTATCACATTTCACATAGTAGGCAGCCATATAACACAAAGCAAACAAATAACTATCACTTGCGTTTTACAACGTAACCAAACGTAACAAAATTTTACCGATAACACATCACTCTCATTTTAAGAAAAGAAAACAGAACTAGCACACAAGTAAAATCCAGTCAGTTTAGCTTGAAATACTAAAAGTAAGGCAGCCTTTCATGTTCAGTGCCATAAAGAACACGGTGACGGGCATAATGGCATCAACCATGTGTTATTCTTTCTCTTTGGAAAGGGAAGTCCTGCAAATCTGCTGGTAAGTGCTAACCAGGCCCCTGAATCTTGCATAGAGCAAGACACCACCCAATCATTAGGGCTATTCACAGCAACTGTTCCTTGCACCATTGGAGACGCTAGGAGGCACGAAGCAGAAAAGATGTCCTCGCTTCACGCTCTGTAGTGTTCTCTTTTTGGTGCTTATCTCACGATAACGTCCAGAAAGTTTCGTAATAGATTCTGGAAGTTTCCCGGCGTCTAACGAGAGTGCATCTGAAGACCGGGATGCAGATATCTGAAAATCGCTGCCACATTCGCTGCGACCACAGCTGATGGCCTGCTAACCCTAACGCTGGTTCAGCGACAGCCGGGCAATCGGAGAGACGCTACAGCTTGGAATGTCTCCAAGGCATGGGTGACAACGTGGATTGTGACGCGGTGAGTGAAACAACTGTCGCCTGTGCAGACAACAATGCTAGCACACCGAAGGAACTTACCAACGACGATGCCTCGGTGAGTGACAATTTACCCGATCCTACCAACGCCAATGAAGCGGACTGGCAGCTCAGCAAAACGCTTCGGTACACAAGAAACAAGCCCAGGAACGCCGCAACCCTGCCGCACTTCAAGCCCAGTAGAAACAAATGCAAAACAGTAAGAAGCTGGGACCGAGAGTACAGAAACTCCCTCTGCTGCCTAAAGATGATTATAAAATTGTCATGCGCCCCCACCAAGGCCTGCCGTTGAAAGCGATCGCTGCTCCTGAACTCGCAAGAGCAATCATCGAAACCTGCGACCACCAGTTCACGGACGAGAAGTTCATTTTGCGTATCAACTGAGGATCCAATATTGCCATACTATCCACAAAGTTTTCCGAAGTGGCTGAACTCGTTCGGCAGCTTCAAGAACTTGTCATCAGTGGCAGACCGCACCTGGTGCGTGCCTACATGGCTACGGGAGAAGCACTCCGTGGAGTTGTTCATGGTATTCAACCCAATAAGTCTATGGAAACTCTAATGGCCCATCTTCGCATACACACTCAAGGCATCGAACTTTTGCAAGCCAGAATGATAGGCAACACCAAGAGCGCAGCCGTCACTTTCTATAAGGACAAGCTTCCTCGAACTGTCTATTTTTATGGAGGTGAACTTATTTGCCATCCATTTCGTGCTACTTTGCAAGTTTGCAAAGTCTGCAGGAAAAAAGGCGGCACTGAAATGCGCCCCTTTATCCCTATACATGATAAATCAATTGCCGGTGTAATTTATCACATCAACATTGCCATTCCTAATGTTGACTTGCCTACCTTCATCGAGCCTGCAAACGAGGGAATTGTCATTACGCAAGTGCGGCATCTTGAAAACACGTGCTGTGTAAAAGCGTTTTTCAATGGAGATTGCATACTGTCCCACGTTAAAGTGAGACATTTCGGACATCTGGTTCGACCATTCATCCAAAAGCCACTTCAATGTCATCAGTGCTTCAGGCTAGGACATGTCAAGGGCGTATGCCCCAACTCACGACTGTGTCTCCGTTGCGCTGAACCTCATGCTGAAGACACCTGTCGGGCAACTACTCTGAAGTGCGCCAACTACAGCGGTCCTCATGTTGCTTCTGGCCCCGCTGCGGTAGTCTAGTGGCTAAGGTACTCGGCTTCTGACACGCAGGTCACGGGATAAAGTCCCGGCTGCAGCGGCTGCATTTCTAATGGAGGTGGAAATGTTGTAGGCCCGTGTTCTCTCTCGTATTTGGGTGCACGTTAAACAACCCCACGTGGTCGAAATTTCCGGAGCCCTCCACTATGGCGTCTCTCGTAATCATATGGTGGTTTTGGGACGTTAAACCCCACATATCATCAAATTGAATAAACTGGGCTGTGTCCCGTCACTAGTGCTAACAACCCCCCCCCCCCCCCCCCAACTCTTAAAGCGCTTTTCCGCAGGCGATTAGTGAAGTGTACTGCGGCGAAAATAGCTTTAGTGGCGTTCTTCATGGGTTACAAGGCCATAAACAAAGTATAAGTGCAGGTGGTCGAAATTTCCGAAGCCCTCCACTACGGCATCTCTCATAATCATATGGTGGTTTTGGGACGTTAAAGCCCACAGATCAATCACTCAATGTCACGTTGCCTCATCGAAAGACTGTCCTCGAATCCAAAAGAAGCGCGCGATTCTCAAACAAATGGCCTGAGATAACTCGACACACAGGGAGGCAGCTGAAGTAGTCCGGCGTCGACATCATCGAATGTCTTCAAAGAAGGCACATTCCCGAAATGCTAGTTCCTACTTTTTAGCTGTTCCACTTAGTAGAGTCGCGAGAGGACCCACCACTTCTACGAAAAAAGCGGAGAAGCCTCCTTCCCTGGAGGAACGGCCCACACTCCCGACCTGCTCTTCTGCCAAAGAATCTCGGCAGGTTGTGGCCACACCAGAGCCGTCTTCAGCCATGGAAGATTTGTCTAAAACAGATCGTCAAGTGATCTCGGTGCTGCGTTCCCTTATAGAAGCCATCCGAGCGATATTAGTCGACATGAAGACAGCATCTGCTCGAAGCGCACTTGGAGTATTGGGCGCCATAAGCCCAGTTCTTGAATCTCTCAACTAGGAAGATAGCTACACACACACCTCATCATTTCGTAAAGAAGACAATGCTGCATCCGTCATCCAATGGAACGCCAGAGGACTAAAATCATGCCTTTCAGATTTTCGTCAGTTTGTGTATACCAACGTGTTTCCAGTCATCGTCATTTGTTAACCCAATTTGTCGAAACCAATTTGTCGAGGTACGAAGCTGTCGTGTCTTCAACAAATGGTGCATGCGTCAAGATCATTGTCTTTGTTCGTCGTCAACTGACATGTTGTGCAACCAATTGCACCTCACGATGACTATCAATATGTGGATCACTGTGAAAATCAACAAACTCATGTTTACTCTCATAGGTGTTTATATATTGCCTTCGAATAATCTCAATTCCAGGAGATTATCTGATATTTTGTGAGAGTGTCCTGCACCATGGGTCATCATAGGTAATTTCAATGTGCACCATCACGCATGGGGAAGTAAGCGGACAAATGCAAGAGGACGCAGGTTAGCAAACATCGCCTACAACTATGGCCTTACTCTCCTGAACGACGGTAGTCCCACTTTTCTTCTAAGGGTGACATATGGCAGCTGTCTCAACCTTGCTTTTGTCTCTAACTCCCTCGTGAGATACGTCAAGTGGTTTCCAGATGTTGAGACACGAGGAAGTGATCACATTCCAATCTACCTTAACATCAAAGGCTTGTCTAGTTGTGGTCCGCGGATGACCATTCGAGCAGTCCAATGAACCAACTTCAAATCTGACATGAAAGATGCTTGCAGCGATGGCCTACGATCTGGGTTAGAGCAAACAATTAAGAGCACAATGCAAAACGCCACTCGCACGATGACATCTTCCGCACGAAACGACTTTTACATAGAGTTGGAGCGATTCCGAGCACTTCGACGCCGGGCAAAGGGTCGGTATCGTTGCACAAAAGCAATTCAAGACTTTAGGGCAGCCAGGAGGATGCAAAAAAAGATTCAGTGTCACATAGATAGATTAGCGTCAGAACGATGGACAACGTTTTGCCAGTCACTAGACCCTCGCAAGCCACTCCCACACATTTGGAAAACAGTGCAAGGTCTGCGTCACCTTACAGAACAGCATTTTCCATTAAAGCGCTCACACTCTTTCAAGGGCGACAAGACATTGATGTCGCAGAAGATTTCTGTGTGAAGATCGCCAACCAAGCCACTCGTCAAGATTCTCCAGTGAGAGGTGACGTCCCCCGTTTCCCTGTACCAAATGGACCTCTCTTTTACAATGGAGGAGCTCGAGGCGGCACAAGCTCCCTGCATGCGCTCAACTTCTCCGGGTCCAGATGGTATCCCGTACCGAGCCTTGTGCAACCTTGGGGAAAGTGCAAGGAGAGAACTGTCGAGCCTTCACAACATCTCGTGGCAGGATGGCAATGTTCCTGACGACTAGAAAGTAAGCCGCTTGGTACCCATCTTGAAGCAGGGCAAATCCCCACTCGAACTCGCCTCATACCGCCCAATATCACTGGCCAGCTACGTAGGAAAGATAACGGAAAGGATGATACTAGGCCGTCTGGAGTGGTATCTTGAATACTACAAGATTTTTCCGAATTTCATGGCTAGTTTTCGATGTGACCGCTCTTCCATTGACAATGTCGTTGATCTAGTTTCGTACGTTCAGCACGAGAGATCCCGTAAGCGAATATCTACAGCTTTGTTTCTAGATGTGAAAGGAGCGTATGATAATGTACTACATGAAGCCATTTTGCGTGCTCTTGTGCTGGTTGGCCTTGGTGGTTGAGTCTTTCGGTGGATTTCAAGTTACTTGGCTGCAAGATCATTCTTTGTGTTGACAGAAGATGACCCAACTACGCGACGCTATACTTCCAGGCG